TGAATAGAGATGTCAAAGTATTGAGCATATTGGATGTTTACACATGAATAAGCAAGATGACAGAATTTGTTTTCAAGTAGATCTATTTTTTTGCCTTTGTGCATTTTTGGTAGTTCTTTGACTGGCTGTTTTTATGGATTATTTTTTAAATATTTATGTTAGCATGTAATTAGCATATATATATGGCGGACTATGTAAATGATCCCCTTTTATAAGAGAGGAAAAATGGGTATGGGTTTTTGTTTTCCTTACTAAATGTCTCTAGACTATTTAGTATTTAGGGGATAATTTGCACTTTTTCTTTTTAAATGGAGTTAATAATTTTAAGTGATGCAGCTGCCTGATAAGTTCCATTTTTAAAATGTATATATTATTGATTTCAGAGTTGAGGGGAGAGGTAGAGAGAGATAGAAATATCAATGGTGAGAGAGAATCATTGATTGGCTGCCTCCTGCACACCCCTTACTGGGGATTGAGCCTGAAACCCATGCATGTGCCCTTGACCAGAATCAAACTCAGGCTGACACTAGTCACTGAGTTAAACCAGCTAGGGCAAGTTCCATTTTTAAGTCAAGGATTTTAATCTATCAGGGCAGGTGTTTGAGTTTCGGGATTTGGAAGAACAGAATTCTGACACATTTTTTACTTTTTGCTTTCACCACATTTGGCATTTGAATACTGTTGTCACTCTTAGCTATCAAAGGAAATCTTGCACTATTCTCATAAAACCTTCACAGAACCAGACACCGAAACGCTGACTCAAAGTCACGACATTCCTCTGGGGGGATTCTTCCTGTCACTCTTCTCAGATCACTGGAAAAGGTCATATTTGAGGAAGATGTTTTAATGAAGTTTACCATTTTTTTTTAATGCAGTGTGTGTGTGTATAGGCAACTGCAGGTGCCCCAGAGAGGGACTGTTTGTAGTGCTTTAGATTGTTGAAAAGTAAATTGGCCAGTGAGAAATAGGCAAAAAGTGGAGATGGGTGGCTCTCATGACTTCCAAGCTGCTGTGCACTCTACATTTCTGTCTCCCTTGGGATTTGCAGATTTATTGAGAGAAGCATTTTCAACTAAATAATCCCTTACATCTCAACATGTGTTGGGACATAATGGAACAGCCACTGTAGAATTACTATGAATTCTAGTAAACATTCGAGGCATGAAAAAATTTATTTGTGAACACTGAGAGCCTCATGATACTTAACATCATATAGCACTGCCCTGGCCAGGTGGCCCAGTTGGTTGGAACATCATTTTGTGCATCAAAATGTTGTGGGTTTCATTCCCAGTCAGGGCACATACCTAGGTTGCAGTTCAATCTCCAGTCTGGACTTGTATTGAAACAATGATCTTCTCTCTCCCTCTCTCTCTCTCTCCCCCCTCTTCTCTCTCTCTAAAATGAATAAAAACATATCCTCAGGTGTATACTAGAGGCCTGGTGCACAAAATTCTTGTGCAGGCATGGTCCCTAGGCTTATCCTGCGATCAGAGCTATCTTCCCTGGCTGCTGGCAGTCAGCCCTGCCACCTTCTGCCACCCACCTGGGTTGCCAGTTTGCCATTGGGTGATCAAAGCCTGATGGCTGGGCAGGGGAGGAACTGAGAGGTCGGCCGTTCCTGCCTGCTCACCGGCCCCACCCCCGCTGCTGGTCGCCCCCTGTGTGTGAGGCAACAAGCGAGTCGGGGGCCTTGTCCTAGTGCCAGCCGCATTCCCCTCCGCCCATGCCAGGTCCCTGTTTGCCATTGAGCGATCGGAGCCTGTGGGCAGGGGGAGGGACTGTGAGGTCAGCAGTTCTCACCTACTCACCAGCCCCACGCCCACCGCAGGTTGCCCTCTGTTTGTGGGGTGACCAGTGAGGTGGGGGCCTTGGTCTGGTGCCATCCGTATCCCCAGCAATCCACCCCCCCCCTCCCCAGTCCCTGGAGCCTGCTGGCTGGGAAAAAGGACCGAGAGTTGGTCAGTGCATAGTGACTGGTTGAGCAGTCGCTCTGGTTGTTCTGCTATTATGGTTGCTGGGCTTTTATTATATCGGATTTTTTAAAAATCATATAGCACTGAATTTGCTTAGGTGTGTTATAATTACATCTGCCTGTCTTCCCCACTATATTGGGATTTAATTCAGAGTAGGGAGAATTACCTTTATAAGATTTCCAATACATGGTACAATAGTTATTATTTCAGAAGTATTCACTAAATGGTAGTTGAATCAAGAAAATAATGAATGAAGAAGTTTAATGACTCATTAGGATTTCTCCATTTTTTAATCTTCTTTGAGGTCATGTAAGTTTTATTTTATTGTTTGTATAGGAAGTGTCAGGAATTCATATGCATAGTTTCCCTTTTGGGTTGACTGACATTGTCAAGGACTTCTATATTTACTGAGGTCCCGGTGCACGACATTTGTGCACTGGAGGGGAGGGGGTCCCTCAGCCAAGCCTGCACCCTCTTGCAGTCCAGGACCCCTTAGGGCAGCGGTTCTCAACCTTCCTAATGCCGCGACCCTTTAATACAGTTCCTCATGTTGTGGTGACCCCCAACCATAAAAGTATTTTCATTGCTACTTCATAACTGTAATTTTGCTACTGTTATGAATCATAATGTAAATATCTGATATGCAGGGTGTATTTTCATTGTTACAAATTGAACATAATTAAAGCATAGTGATTAATCACAAAAACAATATGTAATTATATATGTGTTTTCCGATGGTCTTAGGTGACCCCTGTGAAAGGGTTGTTCAACCCCCAAAGGAATCATGACCCACAGGTTGAGAACTGCTGCCTTAGGGGATGTCTGCTTGCTGGCTTAGGCCCATTCCCCATGGGGAGCTGGCCTAAGCTGGGAGGCAGACATCCCTGGAGGGGTCCTTAGGGCTGCTGTGGAAGCAGGAGAGGCTCCCATCACCACCACTGTGCTCGCCAGCCATTTGCCAGCCATGAACCCAGCTTCTGGCTAGCGGCACTTCCCCTGTGGGAGTGCACTGACCACCAGGAGGCAGCTCCTGCCTTGAGCGTCTGCCCCCTGGTGATCAGTGCGCATCATAGCAACTGGTTGTTCCACTGTTTGGTGAAATTACATAGTAGGGTTTTATTATATAGGATAGTAAAAAGAACACTGGAGTTATCACACAAATACTTGTGTTTAAATTTTGCTTCACTGCTCACATGCTGTGAAAATTATCTATCTTCCCTGAGCCTTCATTTAGTCATCTCTAAATCGGGTTAGTAACATCTCCATAATTGTTATTTCACAAAGTCATTTTTCTCCCTTTATTCGGAAACTCTTGAAATCTCCCATAATCTTAAACTGCCTAGTTTATATAGTAAGGGAAAAAAAAAAAGCTTGAACTATGTCCTGATGCTTTAAAAAAAATTCCCTGTAAACCTTGTTACCCTGCAGCTGCCACAGTCATAAAATCAGTGGCCTTTATTGCTTTAGGTGTGGGGTGGATACAGTCTATTCTAGAACAAATGTGTCATTGTGCATTTGTTACCAAAGATTTACACAAGCTATGATTTGTTGAAAATGCTAAAGTTGCCATTTATATATTGAGAAGAAAGCCTGAGGATATAAGACTAAAGCTTATAAAAGTGGGACCTAACCACATCCATTCCCCCACTCCTCGCCCCTTCAGTGGTGCAAATAATGCTTGATGAGAGATTGGGAATAGGAACAAAAAGGATGTTAATATAAAAAGAAAACAAGAAGGTTAAGGAAGGAGATGAGAGCTAAAGAGGCCTTGTCAATGTCCCTGCCCCCAGCTCAGAGGAAATGCTCCTGGGAGTCTCTAAACCACCTTGGTGTGGGCAGTAGAGGTGAAAGGCCCTGTTGAGAAATGGCCATTCTACTCATCTCTCCTTCAGGTACCTCACGTCTTAGAATTGGTTCTGGTGGGGCAGAGATACTGAACCGAGCTTTCAGTAGGAGTCAGCACACCTTCTAGGGGTCCCAGTGTCGCAGAGAAGGGAAACCTGGCAGAGACTGCGCCTCTCCACCTGGGGTCCCAGCTGCACACAGACAGGTCTCTGAGATGAAGATTGAGGAGTGAGCACTGAGATGAAGAGTCTGGTCAATCAGGGAAGACAGACAGAAGCAAGCATTGCCCCATGCCTATGCTGAAAGGACCATCCCAAACTCTTCAGAACAGGTATAGTGAAGGTAGAGACCGAAACCCAAGGAGAAGGCTGGATTAGGTTTGTCTTACTCCGGATGTAGCAGCCTACCCAGGAAGGGCACTAATGGAAGCAGATGCTCCGCTCCCACCACTACAATATTGCACAAACTTCTTGAGGAGATGCCAGTCTGTTAGGAGAAGGGAGAAGGGAGAAGGGAGAGAAAACCCAGGAAGAGTAAAAATGTATCCCAAACTGACTATTTAATGAAGAACCTGAGTCATAACAAATGAACAAGCTTTACATTTTTTTGTTTTGTTTTGCTTTTTATACCAAGTGAGAATGAAGACTTTTGAGCAAGATGAGGTCAGTTATGTGATGGGAAACACAATTTTTTTTATCCTCACCTGAGGATATTTTTTCAATTGATTTTTTTTTTTTTTTTGAGTGGAGGGGAGGGAGGAAGGAGAGACAAAGAGAGAAACATGGATGTGAGAGACATTTGACTGGTTGCCTCTGTCACTCATGCCGACTGAGGTCGGGGACCGAGCCTGCAACTGAGGTACATGCCCTTGACCAGGAATCAAACCCATGATTCTTTGGTCCCTTGGCTAATACTCTAATCACTGAATTTAATCTGGCCAGGGCTGGAAACACAGGGTGATTTTTTTAAATTAAATTTTGCATATCTGTGTTATAATGAGTAAATTTCAAAGCCGCCCCACTAGTTTGCCTGTATCTTTGTTTATAACTTATATATGTAGAGTGTTCTCATTTATAGTTTATCAGTTTGTAATATTTTGTTGGGTACAGAATGCTTTTACATTTACCCACTCTGTTTCTTCCCATAACATTGTAAGGTAATATCAATATTATTATGTTTCAGGTGAGGACATCGAAGATTTGTTCAGGACGAGGTAGCTGATGAGAGAGAGAGAAGAAAGAGCCCACTGTCAGCCCAGGTCCTCCTCCTCCTTGCTCAGGAGCCACCACACATGCAACTCTATGGGATCTCTATTTCTCTCCAGAACTCTCTACTCGCTTTGCAGATTATTTGTTAAGACCTCTTACACAATTTTCTTTTTAATTTAAGGCCATGTTGCCACGAAGCTTTGTCGTGATGTATTTAAATAAAATAATCTTTTGTTACCTAGCATGCCACTGATTCTTTTGATTTTGTTGTTTAGACAAAATCTCAGCAGAACAGCCTGTGTAGGTAATAGTTTATGAGCACATCTGGGCAAAACAAAACGACCTATGGAAAATGCATTCTAATCATGTCATATCTAGGAAAAATGTAAAAAAAAAAATAGAAGAAAAGCGAGTCAATATTTTATACACTCAAGGTCAATATTCTATGTCATTGTCAATAATGTATGAGTTCCAAAGGATTTGTGTCACTATTAAATTAGAAATGATTCACTCTTATTTGATGTATAGTGGATTTAGCCATATAATGGACAGAAATAAAGAGAATACAAAAGATAGAAAGCAGACATATTATGTAAGATAATTGCAAACCTTTTATGAGCTTCAATACAAAGTAATAGAGACTATCTCATCTTCTTTGCTATTCATTCACCTCTAGCATTAGTGAATTTATGGCTTGTATTTTTAACTCTGACCTAGATCCCTGAAGTGCTGCATGTCTTTGCCCTGCTTCAGCAGGCACGTTTCAGGAGAGTGACTGTATGTTATATGTTACATATCTATAACCCAGATTTAGATAGATGAGTGCTATTAGAATTGAAAGAGAAATTATAATTTGATGTTCAAGAATATCCTCCTTTTGAGTATGTTTGTGTATTGTATGTCACATTTCATTGTTAGCTTTTGATTCTCAATATTCTATTTAGTTTGCTGAGCTATTGGTCATGATTATAGAAATCAATATATAGGTATTTCATTGGTAATATATTTTGTAACTAGTCAGGCGTATGGATAACCCAATCTGTGTGTTTCTTTGAGAGGTACACATCAAAGCAGGTTTCTCCTTCTTGCGTAGGAATTTTTTTCTATTTTCCATCAAAGTTCATTGGACCATGCAGTACCACCACCAGTCATACAGCTTATTATTGAAATAATTTCTTCTAGGATGTTAAGAGAGCATGTTGTTCCTTTTATGTAATGTTTGCTTTCAAAGTCGGACCAAATTAGCCATTAGAGGGTTATAAATTAATGTCTTAAATTTCTTTAGCATTCTTTTTATATTCATACTAGTAGCCCTGTGCATGAATCCATGCGTGAATAACTCTCTGCTGCTTGCTTCAGCTGGCCACCCACCACCGCTGCTGGTAGCTCTGGGCTGCTTGTAGCTCACCGCCACGCCCTCCTGTAGCTCTCTGCCCACTGCCCTGCCCTGCAGCTCTCCTGCCATTCCTAGCTCACTGTCCTGCCCTCCTGTAGCTCTCCCCACTCCTAGCTCGCTGCCCCGCCCTCCAGTAGCTCTTCACCACTTGTAGATTGGTCATGACATTACAGCGTTAACAGATAATTAGCATATTCCTCTCTTATTATATAGGATTTGTAGTTTTCCTGCCAAGCACAATTTTTCCTGTGCATCTTTACTGACCACCACTGATGAGTAAACCCATCTTTCTGTGTGCCACAGTGGAAAGCCTCTTTACTACACACTTTATACCATTCATTGCCTGGTACAGAGGTTGCTTAGATTAAATAAATTAAATCTTCTCACCCATCACTGTAAAGAAATGACAACACAGCATGTATACAGTTTAAAATGACTTGTTGGATTATTTTTGGATAGATTGGGAGAACATTTATACTGATAAGCCTATTTGATTTACCAAAGTTTTCCATATTATTTATTAACTCAATGTCCTTACTATCCATAGTTCAATTTTCTACTAGTAATGGCTCCATTCTGCAACATATGAATGTAATTGAAAATGCCCCTGCCTATATTAAACAAATTGAAAAAAAATTAAATTAATTCATATGGGTTGTATTTATATAGTCAACCGAGGGCTGAAGTTATATACTTGAGTTACAGCTGGGGCAACAATGGAAGTGGTGTTGAAGTAGTTATTGTAAAAGAGAAGGTAGTGAGGATGTGCTTACAATGAGCCTACTCTTGCCATTATTATTCAATGAGAGGTTTCTTCCTTTGTATCTATTATGTAGTTTTACATGCAGATATTTTTTCTTTTTAGTTCTCCCATTTCCACTTAACTCTTCCAATGTTATCATCTTTTTATTTTCTTCTTTTTGATATAAAAGTGATATTAACTGAAAAATGTAAATAACATTGAACTATTTATGGAGGGTAGGAAAGAGAGTTTGCCAGGCCTTGAATATTTCCTCATCTGGATCTGAAACATAGCACACATTTTTAAATATTAAAAAAAAATCTTTATTGTTGAACAAAGTAGGTGGTATCTCAATACCAGATATCAAGATGTATTACAAAGCCACTGTTCTCAAAACTGCCTGGTACTGGCACAAGAATAGGCATATAGATCAATGGAATAGAATAGAGAGCCCA